CAATAACGATGGCCTCCAACCTACTAGCGTTGGCCTCCAACCTAATAGCGATGCCCCCAGCCTACTAGAGTGAAAGCGCCTCTGGTGTTTCTCCTGCTTCTGTTGCCTTCGTTCTTCTCTTTTTCGGAGCCTGCGGGAGGTGGAACGAATTGGGAAAGATCAAAGGGTTCTCTACTGTGTTAATCGTTTTCCTGCATGTTTGACAGCCTGATTCCCTGCAATGACCTTTAAGAGGGGCCCGTTGACAAACTATTTTTGGACACATTCGGGCAACAAAGAAAGGATGACTGGAGCAAAAACACCTGTATGTTGCATTGGCTTGCATTTCTGGTCGCCCAATGGTCGCTGGACTGGTGCCAGTTTACACTCTGTAGCAGCTCAGGGCCATGCGTGAGGAAATAAACAATACCATGTCCAACTAAACCAAGATCGACCATACAAAAAAATAAATAAAACAATTTCAAACCCAAAGATAGAATACAGATGAATACAGCACAAAAAGCAAATGCAAAGCTCCAGTCGTCTGCTCTTTACTCATTTGGTTGACCCTCAGTGGGTGACTAAGTCTCCAACGATTGTCTGTTCCTCTAAGTTCTGAGATGAACAACTTCCCCTTGCCGCCTCTGACCCACCCAGCGAACCACAGGCCATGACGAAACAGAGAGCGAGTGCTGACGTCTTCGGCCATTTTCGCGATCCCTATGACCCCTCGGCCTCTGAAGCCTCTGCTTCTTGTAGGCTTCGGCCACAAGGATGTCCCCCTTCAAGAGGCTCACGGGCTCGGAGGCCTCGGTGACTAACCTGAGCGAAGGATTCGGTTTGGGCGTCTGGTGGAGCGAGACGAACAGAACTCCAGAGGAACGAGCGAAAGAAAGAGCGAACATCCCATCATGTCTGTGATGAATGCAGGGAATCCCAAAGTGCCTCGATTTCTAGAGAGGTTTTGAGAATTTGCAAATTCCTGCAGCATCTGGAAACTCATGAAAGTTTTTATGACTTTTGGGACTGGGACATTGTTAAGGTGCAAGACTTTCGTCAACACCATCACAGGTGAGCCGCCACCCATTACCCCCTCCGTGGTGGTCAACAAAATCTCTCAAACAAACATGAAAGTGGACCACCCTTTGTTTGCAAAGGAATAAATGGGAAAATAGTCTTTCCAGGGCCATGCCATCCACGTTACCATCATTGCTTCAGGAGTTCCTCTCGTGCTGGCAAGCCACTTGCATCGACCTCCGACCAATTCCCATTCGAAGAACTCTGTCACCAATGGGGCACTCTTGGCACATGGAGGTGGTGCCATGCGGGAAAAGGGGCCCGCCGTTGTTTGGCTGTAAATGGCATACAGCTGCAAGCCGAAAAGGCCGTCCGGATTTCAAGATTCTCAGACAACCAACAGCAAACAACAGCAGTTAAACATAGCACTTCCGACGATCAACTAAAGATTCGCCTCCTCTGCTGGCTTGAACTGGGTGAGACCGAGGTCAATGCCTCTTTCATCTTAATCTTCGTCTCAAAGCAGTAGGTGGCTGGAAGGTTACTAATTATTAGAACACCGTGGAATCATTGAATTGATCAAATCCATCCTCCATGCTTGGTGTGGCTTCGCAAGTGACGGCGCATTGCCAATCCGAAAAAGGCCTCCTCAAAGGGAAGCTTCTTCCATTGGTAGGCCGTTTGCAGGTGCCACACTGAATAGAACACGATCCTCAGGCAAACCCCAGCCCAGAACGCAAATGCATGTCCTTTTGTTGCACGGGGTTCGATGAAGCATATTTCTCGGTTGAGACGTCCTACAGCATTTTAGCAAACATATGCAACTCCGCAACCCGTTGACAGTGCAGGAAACCAAACCACAAAGTCACAAAGGTTGATCCTGCTTCCAGAGCTCCTTGTCCCTTTGGGATCAAATGCTGGTCCTCTACGAACAGGTAGTTTTGTGGTGACAAGTCTGCTTGTCGAGCTTACATGCAACGAACATGTCCACTTTTGACGGCGATCTGTGTTTGGGGCGAACAAGGGTCATTTCAGGCGCTTACAATGACTCAAAAACGAATGAGAAGAGATTCCATTCAAGTTTGATCCAATACCAAACCTGTATCGTACTCTTGGCCACATCTGTCCTCAGTCAAGCCAGCCAGTATCTTAGCACTACAAGTGTGACTTGGGCTGAGCAGCAAGAAGCTTGGTGCGGCCACTTGCCAAGCTGGCCTTGGTCGTCATCCCCAGGGTTGCGCGCCAAAAATCGTCCCAGAGGTTGCAATCCATGATGGTGAGTCTGATGACTTTCGCACAAGGACACAGAAAAGGCTTCATCAAGTGGGCTGTCGATGAAAGTTGCAAACCTCACTCTACAAGGCTGTCTCATAACGAAAAAATGAACAAGGCCACATTGGACAGCACCAGGTGGAATTTGCGTTGACTCTCCCTCCAACAAAACGTGGAAGTTTTTTCACAAATTGACTTAAGCTGGCACGGGGCCCACTGGAAGCGGCTAGATGAAACAGTTGTTTGGGTTACTTTGGAGTCCAGCTCACTCGGTGGCATGCAGCTCACTCGGTGCAGTGCAGATCCCCCAGTTTCGGAGTGTCCACCTGGACGTAGGAACTTGGAAGAAAGTTCCGTTCAGATTGAAGATTTAAGGACCACCCAAGGGTGTCCCAGGGAAGCCTACTGAAGCCTTCATAAGTGGCATAGGCTTAGGGTAGAAAATTGATGACCCGGAACAAATGGCTATTGATCCTGGTAGAAGAACCTGGTTTTGTTTTGACATATTGAGCTGTGACAGCTGACAGCTCACACCTGATCCCATACCGCCGAGTTGCGAGGAGGACTTGGATCGCAAAAAGCCAACCTTCCGGCGAAGGGCGCCCGTCGCGAAAAGAAGGGCCGAGTTTGGGGGCGACCTTCGACCCCTGGGGGTCGGGCGTCAAAGCCAAGTGAGATTAGAGACTTGGGTTTACATCCACCAACTGGCGCATGTAAAACCCAAGTCTCGACATTTGCAGAGTGACGTTGAGAAGCTGTATGGACCCCCCAAAGAAAATCGAACACTACTCCGGTGCTGACATCAGGATGCTGCTTGGTTCGGCGCCTTTGGCGAAATTTGTTGATACCTTCTCCAAGAAAATGTGATTCAAATGGATTCAATGGTTTTAGATTGCTTTAGATGGTTTTAGTATGTTTGAGGGGCTTTCACCTAAATAATGTAAACCTGGGTCGGACGAGGCCAGCGATGCTCCAAATCGCCTCAGGCAGAAAAACAAATAAGTCACCCAACAACTCAACACCTGGTTGGTATGACTACCGGTTACTACCGAGCTCACTTGCGCATTGTTAGTTTGGGGAAGGGTTATGTCTGTCATGCACTCCAGAAGTGACCATCCACCAGCGACTACCTCGCACATTCACTCGGCCGATTTCGTTGATTTGGAATGTCATGAAGAGTAGTAGAGCAGGTGGGATGACCGAAATCCCAGATCAAAACGATGTCCATTTACATTTGTGCATTTTTTGGGCTCATGTTGGACTGAAGATCTCACCATCCCAAACTGCCACCCCCAAACCGCCAAACTGCCCCAAACCCGCACCATGAGGGCGCAGTAGAGGCCCAAGGCCAATTGGACCAAGTGAATCTGTGTGACCCAAAACCTCGGACGAGCACACCGCAGATCGGTCCATGTTGAATGAAACATATAATATGCACGACTGAGCGGTGAAACGCGTGTCCGTGCTCAAGTGGTGAAACGCTGCGGTTCGGGCCGTTCGTCCGCGTTTCGGGAGCGTACGGTTGGTTCCAAAGTGAAGCAATTTGTTTGCACTTGGCAAACCCTGTTTCAACCACACCTTGATTTATGTAAAGCCTGGGCTTGGCCCACAAGAGCCAACCGAACCACCCGAAGCCTGAACGTCAAGTGTTTGAAGACTCTTAAATGGTCATTGCATGTCGTCTTTGTTCTCTGCTTTTTGTATTGCTTCTTCCTAGAGGGGGTTTCCTGTCCACTGTCAGATGGCTGGCCCATCAGTGCAGCACCAGTGACACTCCTCCAAGGTCGGGCTTTTTCGTCTCCTGAGAGGCACTTGCCGACACACCCAGAAAGCACACATTATGCCTTTATACATTGACCCCTGTTCAACCCCTGAGCCAGTCCGATCGATCCTGTTTGGAACAAACGACCAGTTTCCTGAGCCTGGAGCCTTTTCAGACCTGTTTGGTCAGACCCTCTTCCGACTCTCCGGACCCAAGCGCCGCAGCCCACGTCGTGAGCGGACCAGGACTCGTCTTCCAGGCTGGACTCGTCCCTGGACCTCGTTGTCCAAGGCACTGCAAAGATCACCAGGTAGCCGTAGGTCATCCGCGCCAAAATCAGGTCGAACATCGCCAACCTCGAGAAGCCCGGTTTAAGCGATCATCTCCGGTGTCGGGCGGCCCACGACGGACGAAAGGGACATAATGGCAACTGGCAATTTCAAACCTGTCTTGACAGCACAACCAAGTGGAGCACGCAAAATGAAGCCCTCCCCTCCATTTCAGATGGCACATGTGGGAACAATTATGCTGTGCAGGCAAAAACGAGGGAACCCTTGCAATATGCTGTACTTTCAATTTACTTCACACCAAGCAGTTCTGTGAGGTTCTCATGTTGCTTGGAACGGTGTTGGACCTCGCCCGTCGGTAATCGCTTCCAGGAGACAAGGTGACTAAAGGCGAAATACTGCAGAACATCAGGCCCAAGACCACGCTGATGGCCAGATTCACATGCCGCGTGCCAAAGCCCAAGCTATCCTGCACGTCAACACCATGTGTTCCGAGTTTGTGAGAATTTTGCAAGCTTTGGCGGCCATGGCAGAACTGGCTTGCCTTGAAGATCCTTTCAAGAAAGAAGAGCTGATTGAAAGGACAGTTCGATTGGGCATCAATCGCTAAACTCCGATGGACCCAACGGCAGGAGTTACTCTGGCTAAAAGGACTTACTTCTGGTGAATCCAACTGGTCAAAACAGCGCTGCTTCACGCACCTGGCCCTTCAACCTCATCCTGGCCCTTTTCGGCACCGTTCACCCGGTGGACTCTGTTTTGAACATCGGTTAACCTTCACCCACCTGATCTTCAGGCTCCGCCAGGTCCTTGGCCTCCTGCGGTCGAGGCCATGGAAACTTCGACACTTCGTTGATCCCATCCGGAAGGATCGGATCAACGGGCTTTCTCCGGGCTTTCTCAGTGTTCTCTATAGGCATTGGCCATCATTCAGTCTGCAAGCGAAGAGATCGAACAAATCCTGCGAGCTAGTAGAAAAAAACACATCGTGAAAACAAATGCACTTCCAAATTTGCTAGAATCTAGAATCTAGAATGTGTCGTCATTATCTGTTTATCTCTTTTCATACATTTTCCTTATTTTGTTTAATTCTACAATCAAAATTAAGCACCAAAAAGGTCTTGTGGGTCGTCTTTTTTGAACTCGGCTTGAAGCTAAAGTGAGGAAGCGAGTAATTTGTCCTGTTTCCCATGGCAAGCGTCGACTTGATGGGGCCCTGATTACAACATCAGGGCCCTTCTCCACGCAACAGCCAACAGATAGCTCAGCTTTGACCCACTTGTTGATTGGTCTTCTCACTGCAGCTTGCGATTCATAATTTATCCAACACGCTTTTGGGTCCAAAAGCTCTTCCTTACAACACGCCTCTGGAGTGAAAATCGCACGGAAGACCAGGAACTTGGACAGGGGCATGTACCTCGGCCAAGTACGCGTGATGACCGGCTGAATGACTCCGGGAATGAATACCTCAATTGTAAGTTCGTGCTCGTTGGTAACATAAACTATACACCAGCTCTGGTATAATGGCTGGATCAAAGTCAGGTATAATGATTATTGGAAAGCCCATTCCGCACATGTCCCATCACAGCAAAGGCACCGCAACATCTCAATGGCACGCCTCGCCCACCTGAGCGTGACATTCGTCCACGGTGATCGAACCCGCCATTGGTGAGGAGACACAACCTACTTGCAGTGGCCCTAATAGCGATGGCCTCCACACAAGACATGATGAGATGAGTAGCGATGGCCTCAACCTGAACATCTCACCGTCTCACCGCGGTTATTTACGTTATTTCCGATGCCACATCTTTGCTAGTAGCAATCAAACCAATGTGTATATTATATATATATGGGGGTTGTTCAAAAGTCCTTTCATTTTTTTCAGGCCTTTCGCAGGACCTTCGCGAAGCTTTCGCAAGCTTTCGCGCGTGGGGTTTTACCACTGTCGGCGAAAATGGTTTTTCGTTGGGGCTAGAGGCTTTCAAGGATAGTTGCCCTGGCACGTCTTGTGTCCTCTGATCACTGACACATTGATTGCTGAGGAACAGGAAGCCAGCGAACCAAGACATTTTCATGTTGGTGTGTTTTTGGTTGGGCGCAACCCTCCATGAACAAGAGACGGCTCAGTCAGGCCAGTTTGCTCAGACTTCCAATTTGCTTTTTCCCGGGCCGGGAAAAAGCAAAATGGTTCAGACTTCGAATTTGCTTTTTCCCGGGCCGGGAAAAAGCAAAATGGTTCAGACTTCCGGGAAAAAGCAAAATGGTTCAGACTTCGAATTTGTTTTTTCCCAACCCGGGAAAAAGCAAAATGGTCTAGACTTTCAATTAGCTTTTTCCCAGGCCAGGAAAAAGCAAAATGGTCAAGACTTCCAACCAAGCCATTTTCATTTTGGTGTGTTTTTGGTTGGGCGCAACCCTCCATGAACAAGAGACGGCTCAGTCAGGCCAGTTTGCTCAGACTTCCAATTTGCTTTTTCCCGGGCCGGGAAAAAGCAAAATGGTTCGGACTTCCAATTTGTTTTTCCCAGGCCTAGAAAAAGCAAAAGGCTCAGACTTCCAATTTGCTTTTTCCCGGGCCGGGAAAAAGCAAAATGGTTCAGATTTCCAATTTGCTTTTTCCCGGGTTCAATCGGAAGTCTGAAGAGCAATTGTTCTTGCAGCGTGGCCAGGTCACCAACATGACTTGCGCAGACCTTTCGCAGGACCTTCGCGAACCTTTCGCGACTGCAGTGAGAGCACAATCGAAATCAGCCTTTGAAATTCGATTACTAACAAGGAAGAGGTGGGTTTTTGAACGACGCTCATATGTGTTTGTGTTCATGATTTACATATATCAATAAATAGCAATACCAACAATTTCATGCAAACATCATCCACTCATCCACTCATCCGCTCATGACTCATCACTTACACAACTATAGCTGTGACTCTCTGGTCTGGGGAGCAGACTGCAAGACCAAGTAAGTCCTCGGCACCGGGTACAAAGAGATCACAAAATGAGAATTCAGATCAGTGGATTTGGCAGAACGACTTGTTTCGGAGATTGGTTGCCAGGGGTCAAACCTTGTTGCTTGCGCAAGCATCCATTTGAGACCTCAAGAAAGCGGTGAGTCAACTCTGAGATACGAAGTCCGAACAGCCTTCCCTCCTCGCTTCCCGGTTTTGCTCGGCGCAACAAAAAGTCCGTGACCATTGATGTGGGTCATTCTGTGCCGAGCTCAGTAGTAGGTGCCATCATCCTTGCCCTGGGCATCCAGCAAGCCCTTCCAGTAGCCGGCCTCATAGGCCTTCTTGGCATTGGTGTCCACCAGCACCTCCACTTCTCCAGAACCCAAGAAGCCACCCTGTCGGCACTCGAAGATCAGAAGATTCTTCTTGTCAACAATCAAACCGGTCAAAGGGCCGATAATCGGTGGAGAGACGCACCAATCAATGAGCTCACCGGTGGTCACCTTGAAGGAAGAGCCATGCAAAGGGCACACAATCACGTCGCCAATGACATCGGCTCCCTCACTCATTGGGGTACCAATGTGAGGGCAAAGGTTGCCAACACAAAAGAGAGCACCTGCCTCAGTCTTGCCGATCAAGACATCATTGCCCGCCAAGGTCAATGCCTTCAATTCGGTGGGCTGCAGCTCAGAGGCCTTCACTCCAGTCTTGATCCAGGCCAACGAAGGCAGGATCGTCTGGGTGGTGTAACGAGCCGCTGTCTTGGACACGCTCTCGGACGAGCTGGGTGTAGCGCCACAGAAGGCTGAGCCCTGTGCCCGGGCAGACTCACGCGGCAAAGCGGAGACCCCTGGCACGCTGCCAGCATTGAAGTGGCCAAGGAACATGGACAAGAAGGCCATCATGGCCAGTCGGCCGTTCTTCAACTCCTTGAGCTGCATGCTCTTCATGGTCGCCTCATCCTTGGCAAGCTTCAAAGGATCGAAGCCAAGATCACCGGGCTCACGGTCCATCTGGCCAATCCAGGCATCATTGGGGAAGTACTTGCCCTCAATGACCATGGCAAAGGCAGAGATCTGAGCAATGCCAAAGCCCACAATACCCTGAGGATTGTCGTAGCACTTCTGCAAAGCCTCATACCACGGGGCCTCGGGATATCCATCAATGTGGAAGGACTGCTGAGCAAAGATGCCGACAATGGCCAACATGGCACAGCGGCCATGCTTGAGCTCCGCTTCCCGCAGCCATTGCACATGCGGGTAGGTCATGTTGTCGTTGAAGTCAAAGTTGCGGTCGTAGAGCTTGCTGAAGCCCAGGGGATCCCATGGCTTACCCACCTCGCTTCCGGTTTCGACATCAGGTCCCACCATGGTCAAGCAGGACTTGTAACTTCCTGGCACAGGGGTTGCCCAGTCTCCCACCACTTGTGGCATCATGGGCACCCCGGATGGTCCCGGCTTGTAATTGGGGTAGCTGGCCGGATCCACAGGCTGCATGTGCTTCGGCAGCGTCGCCATCTCCTGTGCCTTCCGTGCCACCCGCTTGCGTCCGGCCAGGCCCATGGCCATAGCACCAATGGCAGCCATGGCGCCCACCTTGAAGCCATGACCACCCACCAATGGCTCTGGAGCAGCAGCGGAGATCACTACCGGCGCAGAACCCAGGGAAGGGGTGGCCACAGGAGTCAGGAATGCCACGTCCATTGTGCTGGAGCTTCTTAAACTGGCGGCCTCTGCGTGGCTGGGCGGTGGGCCAAATGGCTATGGGACAAAAGAAGTGACAACAAAGCTCGACGCGTGTCGCTTGTTGTGTGTGTAGATGGCATTGGCAAAAGAGGGTTTAGGACGCCTAGGGCCATCTTGCTGATTGAAGATCTTAAAGTTGATGTAAACGGTTCAACAAATTAGAACACCTGAAGCCTAAACCAACATCACACATGCACTGAAACATCTCCATCATCCGCTCCTCACGTTTCTTCTCCACAATTAGCTATTAAGTACCGTTGATAGACCAAAGGACAAGACATTGTGTAATCGGCAATGCTTTGTATTGCAGAGTAACCATAAAACCCTTAGGGGGAGGGATTTCGTCCCATCAACTGTAGCGATCCGCAGTGAACCGATCTTGCCAACTCACAACTCACCAATGCGAACGCCAAGAATCATGTAGAAGTGAGTGGCATTGGGCAAGCTGTCCTTGGGCTCGAGGTGAGAGGTTACTTGTGCATACTTGTGCTATCATATACTTCCAAATGCTGCCAGGATGCTCAGGGTTTACCCCCACTTGCCCGCGCCTGCCCCAGCACCCAACTTCTTTGCACCCTCATCATGAGGCACACAAATGACAGGTGGTGCAAATTGACTCCAGCTTTTTGTGCAGCTGTTGGGAGGCGACCGAATATCAGTTCAAGGGACCAAAACAGGGGATTCGAAAAGGAGGCTCTTCTCTTCAAAAGTGGATCTGGCATTTTTGGGAGGAGGCATCAAACCTTGACCCACATCCATGGTTCGTTGCAGCATCGCTGGGAGCAGCTTATGGGTCTTCGTTGAATGAACCATGTTGGATGGCTGGGTTACTCCACCTAGATCGAATCTTAATCCTGATAGATCTGCACCAGAATGGTATAATATAAATGTGATTAAATTTGCTATGTGTCTACAGAAATAGAACTTCTACAATTCTATAGAGATGTCCCGTGCTGGGTTAAGCAAGCATTTGGGGGTCAGGTTCTTAACTCATGTGGAGGCACCTGAGTTGCATGGACCCAGTGTTTGCAAACGACAACCGTCTTCCGGACCCAGAATTCCGGACACCCCGAGTCGCAGCCGGACCGCGGACCGAGTCTCAGCAAGGAGATGCATGATCTCGGCGGGATGCTGAGACATATACCTCGAGATGACTAGCGGGATTTGTCGACCCCATCGGTGTTTCAAGGTGTTTCAACATAAACGAGACCCCATCGGAGTCATCCATTGACCCACTACCAAAAGGTTCAACCCTGCAAACCCTCCCCCAAAAACTAAACATATATGCAAATCGATTTGTTTGCCTCTCAAACTGCGACATACTTTGACGAAGGTGCCAAGAAAAGACCCGAAGCAACCAAAACCCCCGATTCTTCTGATGCTCGTATCAGACTCCGCAACCAAAACAGACTCCAAGATAAACAGGCTTGATCAAGCAATTTCCAACTCGAAAGTTCCACAACCGCAGGTAAGCAAGTCCTTTCCGCAGGTAAGGCTGTCTTGAGTGCTATGGTGGGTGCCGCTGGTAGTGTGGTCGGCTGTCTTGGGGGCTATGTTTGGCTGTATTGGGGCTATGTTTGGCTGTTGTGGGGGCTATGTTGGGCTGTCTTGGGTGAGCTGTCTTGGCGGCTATGTGGGTTGTGTTGGGGCCTATGTTGGGCTGCCTCGTGGCTACATTGGACTGTCTGGGGGCTACGTTGGGTTGTCTTGGGGCTATGTTGGGTTGTTAGGCTGTCTTGGGGCCTTGGAACCAAAGGCCTTACGAGTTTGTCTTGGACACCCAGATGTATGCAGCAAGAGACCTGGCAGTCTTGGTCACGACTGTGCTTTTTGATCCTGTAAAAATTTGCTTGCTTACCTGCGGTTGTGGAACTTTCGAGTTGGAAATTGCTTCATCAAGTCTGCTTATCTTGGAGTCTGTTTTGGTTGCGGAGTCTGATTCCTGATATTCCTCGTTCTCCCTATTTGGACATGGGTCAAAGCCTCCAAGACCAGGGCTTGGAAACGTGGCTACAGGCGTGGCAATCAAACATGCACACCGCACACCTGCTTTTCCCATCTTTTTCCCAAGCTTCTACGGATGGGCGCACGCAGAGCGCGAGGAGTTGCACTAGATGTTTTTGCTGGCAAGATGCCTTAACTTGTACACCGTGTCCTGCACGGTGTGACCCGCCAAGCACTTGAAAACCATGGTCATCTGGGCGCCGGCGCACAGGTGACGGAGCCGTCCACCTGAAGACTGAAGACCACTGGCGCCAGCCGCCAGTCGAGGCAGCGTCTTGCAGTGCTTTTGGAATTCCTCAGTTCCTCTAATTCCAAGTGAATCTGCAGGGGGCACCTTGCTATTCAATCCATCATCGGCACCCAACCAGGTTCACAGGGCGTGTCAGTGCCCAAAAGAATGTGATCAGTTTAATGTGAAATCCTTATACTATAGTACTAGTTCCAAGTGAGCTATGTATGGTGAGCTTCCCGATTTCTGAAGCAAACTAGCCCAAAAGAAGCCCAAAGGACTATCGGACCATGATGGAGAGCCATTTGGATGCATGTCGCAGTTCCTTGTGCACAAATCTACATCTACTCGTTCAAGACCTGCGCATGTTTAGAGCTTACATGTGAACCAAATGTCCAAACCCGAAAGGTTGTTTACGGAACTTACACATCTGTCCTTGCCGCCTTGCCCTCTGTCAAACAAACTTAGAAAGTCCCACAAAGGCACAATTGCAAAACCAAGTTCATGTTCCCAAGCCCAAAACTGGCCGCATGTTAAAGTGTTGTGTTTGAATGGGAAAAAACGTGTCTCGGTCCCTTGGGAAAAGTGAAGAGTTGAAAAAAAAAACAGCGGGTAGCGGGTAGCCGATCATTCTGCAGTAGAGGCTCCAGCACTACAAAGATGAGCTGGAAGAAGAAATACCATAACTGCAGCTTATGCTGTGACAACCTCGGGCAAAGTCTTTTCGAGCAATCTGAAACCTGCAATTCTTCCAAATGCCCTAACAATGTCCTGACATGTCTTGACTTTTCACATGTCTTCACACCAAGGAAAGGCCATCGGCCATCGGCGATCGGGTGAATCCAAGTCACGTATCAGCCTGGCCGAAGCAGGTGGGAAAAGGTGGCAGGCAGAAAAAAGCTAACACGTCAAAAGATTATGATTCTTCCATCCCTGGTGAAAACCGGCACCTGTTGCGGTCTTGGGTTTGCACGCACAAGATTTTGGCATAAGCCGTTGGACCCGATAGTATATACCAGGGGTAATTTGGTGACACATAGAGGAGATTTACTGTAGAAGAGTTGGCTGTATTGAAGGAAACATGAAGCAACCGTCATACAAAAGGATTCACATCCGAGACGTGCTGAAAAGACAAACCAATATTTGTTTCTTTTTCTATGGCAGGAGTCCGATTCTTCTAACTTGCGATCCACTCTTCTGTGACCCCCATGGGCACCTTGAGAGTAAAGAACCCCTTTGCGATGGCCATCAGCATGCTGGGCAGCAGCGAGAGGAAGATGGTGAGGCCTCACAGACCCCGACAGGTCAAGCAGAAGGTCATCCCAAAACCACCTGTCAAAACAATACCCCCCACAAATGATTGGCCCAAGGCATTATTTATAATATACTTTCGCGGCCCTTTCGCGAAGATCCGTGTTTCTGTTCGGGAAAAAGGGATGTGTCATGTATTGTCATGCAATATGCACATTGCATGTAAGTCCAGTCTTTCGCCGTCCTATCGCCGGCCGGACTCGCGGACGGCAGTTTCCCTTTCGCGACATGTTTGTTTTTTAACATGTCATCTAAATTCCTTCACTGGCAATAACGAACAGCCCTCATATACAGATGTCGTGGAGGGGGAAGTGTGTGGAGGGGGGTTGGGTGGACCCTCATGAATACGTATATAGTATATTGTTGAACCTCTCCCAGTCTAATTTTGTAGGGTGGGTGGCAACAGAGCAAACTCACTCATTAGTTCTATGATCGATGCAGTCGATAACCACAGGCAGGACAAGCGGTTTCGCCCTAAACTGCTAGAAAACCAAGATCCAGTTCTAGCACATACACCTTCCGGATTTTCGAGTCCTCCAATTCCTCGGCCTTTCAATTCCACCAGTGGCACTCTCCACACTCCATATAAATTCACCATTTCTCCCGGCGTCCCAAGAAACACGTCACACGTCCTAGTAGTAAGGCCAGGAGCCCCTAGTAGCGTCCTTGCTCCTAGTACCGATGCCAGGAGCCCCTAGTAGCTACCTTGCTCCTAGTAGCGATGCCAGGAGCCCTTAGTAGCGTCCTTGCTCCTAGTAGCGATGCCAGGAGCCCCTAGTAGCGTCCTTGCTCCTAGTAGCGATGCCAGGAGCCCCTCCTCCTCGGTTTTACGTTGTTTTCTCCGGGTGACCGATGCTTGGGGCGAAGGCTGCCCAGATCGGCTGTAGGGCTCCCAGGTGCAGCACCATGGCCAAGTTCGTCACCTCGGGTGGGTGACGTGGAGACGGGTGACGTGGACGTGCCCGTTGAGTGGAGACGGGTAGCATGGAGTTGGTTTGTTTTAGGGCGAAGAAGCGAAGAAAATGATAGAAAAGTGTCAAAATCAACTCAATGAATCAACTAATTAGCTGTTCCTGTTTTTGCCCTTGGTAATTTTTTTGTGCGGAACAATTCATGCATTTATATGCTTTTCAAGGTTCTCATCCTCGAACCCTTTCAACTCTTCACTCAAACCGCGCAAACCCTGAGCTGGCAGTGGGTGGTGCTTGCCCAGTGACTGCGAGCACCACAGGTAAGAAGGCGATGTAGACACCAAAGATGCCTCAGCGAGAAGACTTGTTCGAAGCTGGGTTTTTGGGCTGGCCGCAGCGGACCATTTGGGGACCAAACCTGTGTGATGTCTCAAGGGATCCAGAACCCAGCCCATCTATCATTGCCCCCTTTCCAGGGTGCAGATTTGACTGAAACTAATTGGCGATGTCCCAAGGATGATATACGTTCCACAAGAATCCAAGAAACAAACCTTCCCGACCCTTCTTGAACATCTCGCACAATGGGCCATCAAATGCCTACATACCCTTGCTGCAAACAGACATTCATACATATGATATATTGCTGATATGCTTGATCCTATCCCCGCTGTAATATTCAAACACCGTATACCGTCAACCTCCTCAGCAAGAAAGCTTCCACCTTCCACTCACCTCCCCGAGTTGACCAAGGAGCACAAATAGCCCAAGAGTTCCGACCGGAGCGTCGAAGCATTGCTCCGGCGCAAGTCCTGCCATCGGAGGTCGCTGAGCACCGGCGCTGCTGAGACCTGCAGACAGACTGCGCGCAGGAGGTGGAGCTTGAGGCGAAGCAATAGTGGTCCACAGTGACCATCAAAGAGTTCCAAAGGGATGGAAAACAACTCCCATGTCAGCCATGCCAGCCATGCTGCCTTCCAGTGGTTCTTGTTCCCACTGATCTGAAGGCTCTGTGCCATCTCAGCATATCTCCGGCCTTGCAAATCAGCTGAAAGATCCATCTCAACGAGATGATGCAAACGCACCGCTTGGGCGTTTGCGCAAAACAGTTTGTCAAGAACAATCTTTGCCTAGCCAACAAAAGGTGCGCGTTGGTTCAACAACATGCTTCGAGCGGAAACCTGGGATCATTCCACTCCCTCTCTCTGTCTCTCGCTCTCTCGGTCTTGTCGTTTTTATTTTAAAACGCTAACAAATATCTATCTACACAATCACAGTACTCCCTTGGATATACACATCACTGGGGTCTGTCCATTCCCAACGGACCCCTCTGAGGTTTGCAGGATCTGACTCCTTTGTGTGATATTTGCACTCTGTATCCTAGCATTCTGCGAGTCTTTTTTACAGTAAATATATGGTTCCATGCTTGGATCAACTCGGATTCATGCTAAAAGCACACCAAACTGACCTATTGACTGATCTCGTTCCAGTCCCTGGAGCGACGTCCTCGCTGTGAACCGTGAGAATCACTCGTGGGGTGCGCCCAGTCCCAACCAAGAAACCGATACCAAGTGTTCCTGAACCCCAAATACCGATCAGCTCCCCCAGGTTGGAGGCCATCCCTATTAGCTTGGAGCTCCGATTCTCTCATCGGTCCCAGCCCGGTCGCCCCGGAAGGTCACAAAGCCGCAGTGGGAGGCCCGCACCGTGGGATCCTGGCACCCGCACCGCACCGAGACGCGCGACGGAGAACAAGGTCGATGAGAGCTGGATAGCTTTGGGATGGTAACAAATGGGAATTTTGTTTGAACCATACAAGAACTGGATAGCTTTGAATTGGTTGGGATGGTCATGATGTCTTCTTATTTAATATCGAAACGTTGGAGAAGACGGAGAAATGTTGTTGCGAAACTTCAAAAGTGGATACCAGTTTCATGCACCAAAATAAAGGCCATTGAGCAAAAGGTTTGAAAACAAAAACAAAACACTCTGGGCGTGAATTTTAGCCGACAGTCCTCCAAGTACTCATCATTGTGGGCTTGCCGTAGAGACCGAATTCGATCCTTCAGCGAAGGATCGTGGATTGGGGTCGACCGAGGTCGTGGAGTTTATCAGAAACAACGCTAGAATTCTAAACTGTGTGTTGAAGAGGCTGAGAACTGGTGCATTGATTCCAGACATGCGCCAGCATGTGCTTTGGACCGAAGAACTTGGCCAGCTGGACCAAATTATATATTATACTATGCACCATTATGCACATATTAATTCAGTAAACCACCGTAAATGATTTCCCCGCGTGTCAGATTGAAAGCTGACATCGGCGATGAAACGTTTGCCGTGATAGCTCTAGCATTCTGCTGAGACCCCATTTCGGTCAAGGGAAGCTGATGGTGTTCCGAATTTGATGGAACGCGTGGTCCTGCCGTCTCCTTACGGAGACCATGAAAAGACACATCAAAAAACAGCACCACGAGATCATATCATTTACCTCTTTTGCTTCTGACATCTCGTCATATCTCAACCAATCTATAGTTATATAGACAAGAAGAAGTTGGCTGAGTAGCAACGCCTCGGGAAACATGAAAAGGAAGACGCAAAGAACACCTCGAAGACTCAAATCCTTGTGGAAAAATGAATGCAATTATGTTGTGACATTTTAGCTAATGGGGGCAACTCCGGAAACCTCTCTTTACCAAATTCTGGGACTTGTTTTTGGCGCGTCGAGTAGCCAAGACGCAAAGTCGAAAGCATACCCAGTGACGGTGGGCAAGGCGAACCCAACTTGAAACCCCAAAGCATAGCATGTGGTGTTCTTCCCAAAAATCAAGGAACCAAATGAATCGTGCGAGTGCTTCTTCACCCTCCCGCCCTTAATTAAGTAGGCGCCGTGAGTGAGGCTAGTAGCTTAAGGAAGCTACTAGCCTCACTCGCCTACATATATATAATTAAGGGCGGGCTAAAAAAAGAGTGTGAAACATGCATCTCAACATATCACCAGGTCTTTCCAAACATATCACCGCTGCAACTCCGAGTTCCCTTCAGTCACGCCACATCCAAGCCGTGCAAATGTTCCTCGCAGAACTCCAAGGTGTCCACTTTGGGGCCAAAACCTTAGTGACTTTGTCTTTGCCTTGACTTAGTGACTTAGTGACTCCAAGGTGTCCTTTGGGTTGACCCTCTTGCCTTTCACGTGATTTAGTGGTGTTGCTCGACCAACCGCCACGGGCCTGACCACGGGGGTGGCATGGGAAAACCGCGCAAGGGGCTCAGAATTCTTGCAAGAATGATTCTCCTGGTCCATTCTCCAACGACAAACTGTTCGACAAGACGGATGCGATCTCTTTCGTTTTAGAGACTTTTGGACCAAGTTTCAAGGGTGGTCACTGAGCCCTGTGAGGAAATGGTTTCAACACTCCCGTGATTCGTCTAGTTTTGCCACCTTCGACCCTTTCTTCTGGGGCACAGCTGGGCCGAAAGGTCTCTGCCCGCTGGGTCTTTTCGAAGGTGAGCTCCGCTTTTCCTGAGCTAGCCGGTCGAACTAGGCCCGGATCAACCCGGATGTTCGTCCGCAGGTGGTTCTTTTTGTCGCGTTGGTTGGTTGATCTTGCCACAAAGAAAAATGATCCCCGCTATATAAGGGTTGGAGTCTACAAAAAGCTCTGACCCAAGCTGCTTTGCCATCTACAAAATGGCATGTACCAGAGTGGGCTTGTACAAACTGACGATGCCTCAAGATTACTATCTTATTAATCTTCTGCTTACAAGTGCATAGCCAGCCATACAGCAAAGTGACTTCTCTACAAAAATGGTGTCTGTAGGGTGTCTGTAGGTGCAAAAAACTGACTTGTTACAAAATGGCCTCAAGCTCTCCCTTTTTGTAGAGGAAAGTTCAACGGTGATTGATATGAAAAATGCTCGATGTTTCTATCTAGAAAAGGTGGTGGCCCCTTTGGCATTGTGTGATGTGTATTTCTTTGCTGCAATGGCAGAACTTGTTGAAAAGCCTTGTTGGTGGCCTTCTCATCCAAGCGGAGATTCAACAATTGATTGTTTGGTGCTCACACCCTTGCCCAAAAGTTGTGCGAGCTCTCAATCCTGTGCTCTTGAAAGCCACAAATCGTATTTGTTGCATTTGGATGGGGCACGGCATGGCACGGCCACTAGCAGACTTGAAAACGCTTCGCGACTGACGTCGTGCTATTTCTGGCCTTTTGAGGCTTCAGCTAAAGCAGAATAAACGTATAAACCCGTGCGCGTCCTTGTTACTGTCGCTTCTTGTTCCCATAGTAGGGCCAGCACCCCGTTCGCAGTGTCCGAACGCTCCGTTCGGAGCGATGCCCTGGCGTTCCTACTTGGATCGGTGTCCGAGGCGCGCTTCATTTGCAGCAAGTCGTCCCTCTTCGCCACGAGTCTCGCGAGGTCCTCCGTGGGAGGTGAGGTAACAGGCTCGGCGACTGGGAGCATCCACAGGATCCCTCGAATGCTTTCTGCTTTTACACCAGGTAACCAGGTATAATTCGATACAAAAGACACTTGAAAAAGAAGCATCATGGAGATTTGGAGGGATACGTTCGCTTGCCTGGCAAGCTCCGTCATCTCAATGTGGCTTGATAGAGCTTCTGTCTTGTTTCTAGGAAAGCATATTGAAAGCATATAGTTGGATCTGTGGGTTGGACATCTCTACGTTTTTACTGACATGAGCGACCGCCAAAACCTATGGGCACATTTGTGGAACTCCATATGTTGGCGTCGCTTTTGGGGGGTCGCTATATTGCTTTACAGTTTTTCGGATGCCTTTCTCATTTCTTGAGGATTTCTCATATATAGCTGAAGTACACATGGATATGGGGAGGGAGGACAAGTGAGAGAGAGAGAGAGAGTGGGAGAGTGAGAGTTTTCGATTGACACATTAGCGCTTCCTTCCCCCTTCACTGCAGTTCATTTCTAGAGCTCTTCATCTGTGGCAGACTCTACAGGCACTGCGAAAATGTTACGAAAGGGGATCCGCTCATCTAGACCACGTTTGGATCATCCAGGGGTATCGCTTTGGTATCGCTTCGGTGTCGCTTCATGTAAAGCGAAAACAAAGCCACAACACGGATTTCCAGAGCTTTCGTCTGACAAGGTTGCAAAGTAAATTTGAATCAAATCATTGAAGTGTACATTGTGAAGGTATCGCTTTGGGGGGTCACTATATCGCTTTACAGGATTTTGAATGATTTCAATGAAATAGTTCCTCTGTGTTCCTCTCACATAAAGATTGGTGGACAGACCCTTTAGAACGTTGCTCACATTGACGGTCGCACCCCATCGCCCAGCGCCTCTTCACACCTCACCTCCAGTGCAGTGAGAAGCAGGATTGGACACCGACTCAGATTTCTCCAGGAGAGCTCACTTAGAAAATAGACTGAACTTGAACTGAAACAGCTAGTTCTTTCTAGCCAAGAAGCTATGTGAGCTGAGAGGACATCGTCTGGAGAGAAAATGCGTCCAAAGAACCTTAGCCAGCAAGCAAAAGACTTCAAAGAAACCCTTCATTGCAACAATCTGACGATCCTACAGCCATTCCAGTCTTTCAACTGGTGTGGAATTGGTACAACCACAAGACTATCCAGGCTCATCCTGGATCCCTTCGATGCCGCCATCCCCTACCAGACTTTAACAGGTTCCAAAGATCCAAAACTGACCCGACTCCAACCGCAGAGATGACGGTGAAACACGGACCTAGAACGCCGAGTATCTCCTGCAGCTTCTGGTCAGATCTCCAGACAACCGGGATGTTCTCCTGAGCCACGGACGCACAAGATGCTGAGACTGAAGCAATGGATGGATTTGTGTGCAAAAGTCCGAGGCCCGAGGAAAAAAAGGTGTCTTCTTTGATTTGTTGTCTTTGAAGGAATGCCAAGGTAGAGTAGAAGGTAGACATTCCCGACATTATTGAGTACATTGAGCCCATTTCAACCATCCCACTCCCATGGACGTCTCAAAGACATGCACAAGCAAAGATGGAGGTCGAACATGTGTTCCAGGAAAACAAGGCCACTTCTTTCCAAAAGAGGAGGGGAAACTCAACAATGCACTTGAATTGAAAAAGAACCGCTAGAGCATGCTTGCGACCACTTTCCAACCCCTTTTCCTCGTCCCACCGAGTCTGATGCTCGCCCAAGAGGCGACCAGCACGGTGGTGCAGCGAGGCGCCGGAAGATCTCGGCAGCGGGAGGTTTTTACACGTAGGCTTTTCGAGGTGAAGCGGTGGGTGGGCGGTGGGTGGCCGTGATCGGGGTGAAGTGCGGTGATGACTGTGATGTGTGATCCTTTGATTACAGTCATGAGCCCACATGATGGGACATGATGTCATATATTGAATGGTGAAAGAATGGTTCAAACTTGGACCCTCACAGGCCAGGGGCCTGGGAGTCAAGGAGTCGGACATGTGGGTGAACGTCCCAAGCACCAAAAAGAGGGTCTTAAGGACCGAGGGATTGATGCAACTTGAGACCTCTCACCAGTAGACAATCAAAGATTGCTTGACAACCTCAGAAAAGAAGCAGGCTTAGATTCTATGCAAAATGCATCAACATGAATACAACAGATTGTGCGCAAACCTCGGATGGTTGCGCAAAGTAGATTTTAGCACAACTGAAAATACCAATCAGCATGTGATTCGTCCCCCCACTCAACTCTTGCCCTCCAAAGCCGAGCAACTCTCCAGCCACCGAACACGGAGCTGAAGGAAGCTGGCCTTGGGAAGGACTTGGTTGGCAACTGGTTGGCTCAGATCGGACAGGACTCTGGTCTGCTCATCAAGACACTCTCAAGCCGGGCCCGAAGCGGACGCATGCGGACGCCGACGCCGGGCGTGCCTGCGCTCTGTCCAGGAGAATGTGCACGGTGATGCAGACGACCCAAACCTTGGCGGAAAACAAAGTTCAAGCCACGGCTAATGTGAAGCACGTCTGCTTCTTGGGTCTCTGTTGGATCGTTCTTTGCTTTTGTCCACAACCTCGACCTTGGTTACACCTCCGAGAACGGTTGCCAAGCACCTATCTATTGACATGGCATCTATTTTGCTGTTGATTGACCAGGTTGCAGGTTGTTCAAAAGGTGGAGATTATTGAAATGGAACGATTCTTTTTTCACTGGTCAAGCTAGTGCCGGGTTTCATCAGCAATGCGATGTACATGGGCCAAACTGAAACTCTTGGCAAGAATCATACAACGTAGGTTGGCTTGTGAGGGTTTCTGCAATAAATTCTGTAAATCCTCAGGGCAATGCAATTGTTCCACCATCCATCACCATCGAAAGAACTCTTGCAAATTGTGTTCATGAGCCACTGACTGAACATCGTGATCTCCCCTTTGGATCAGGGTAGACTCTATGGTTTCTCAAACCAGTCTGCGAAAGGTTTCAAGCAACCTTTCCTCTGTGTGAAAAATCAAGCAGTCATCCGGAAGAACTCCGCTCGGAAAACTTATATGTGTGGAAGGTGGTATGAAAAATATATATGTATAGTATATACATTATACTATATATATATATACTTACATATATATAAATATAAAATTGTGGCATATTTTTGCTAGTTATATATATGACCGCAATCAAAAGACCAGTGCATGGGAAGTTTATCTTTAGAAACTTACACTGTTTTGAGAGTGCATGGCGCGCAAGGTTCTATGTGTATATATGTATATAGTGCCGGACGGATATTTCAAACCTGTGTGTTTTCCAAAATCAGTTTTAACCAGGCATAGAAACACGCACGTCCATGGGAGACAAACCCAGGCTTAGAAACTAATAGAAACCCTAATTTGAGAAGGCACTTAGAAACTTTGTGATGGATATGATCCACTAAGCCTGTTGTTGACACATGTGTGGCACTCTGTAGGGCAAGGCACTTAGAAATCAAACCTATCACTTAGAAACCTGGTGGTGTGTTGGTAACATCATAAGATACAAGAAAAAACTCGAATCAAACATGATTTCACCCACTGCAGTGAATGGAATTCAGCAGCATCTTTTTCCGCTCTTGGGTACAACAAATCATCCTGCTCATAGCCTTTTGCTAGCGTTCATACGCTCCTGCTTCACACAGTGCTTGCACTTCCGGAAGGTCTTCTTTTTGAATGAGCCACTTTTCAAGCTTCTGCACGTGGGCTCACTGTGGAACACCTGCCCATTCTCACCAACAATATAGACAGACCTCCCTGGCCCCCACAATCTCATCATCTTTCTCGATGATCCTTTGTACGATTTGGATTTGTGGACAGCACATCTTGCACAGGAGTGCTCCTGTAACCACTCCAGTCATGAATGTGGCCCCAAGCATGATTAGCACAGTGTCCATGACTGACAGCTGCAAATCCGCTAAAGCTACAATGCTCTTGAGCTGAAACAAACGTCAAACTCTTGACTTGGTGTACATGGAACCAGCACGATAGTACAATTCTGGTGGGAAAGGAAATAATGACCAACATCCGTCCCTAGCCTCGGTTTCTAAGTGTGTTTATATAATTCAGAAGGCATCACAAGACTCAGATGGGTGGCTTTTGGTGAAGCCAAACAGTGATTGAGGTTGATTTGGCACTAATGCAGCAGTTGAACTGAAACAAGCGTCACAGCTCTTGACTTACACGGAAAAGGCATTATGGAAAGCATCCTTCCCTAGCCTTGTATGGAAATTTGCCATTAACTAGCTACTTTTTCTCAACTTCTGGTGGTCTTCAACAAGTGGCCTGGTTCACGTTTTCAAGCTCAAGCAAGGCTCTTCCAGGCCACCTGTTTTTTCTACACTTGTTCTCTCCCCTCTGCATCTGTTCTTTCACTTTGTTCTGTCCTCTTTGCTCAGTTCACTGAAAC